AACTCTTGCCTCAAAGATCTGGCCCATGCTTCTTGGATTTGGTATTTGACATAAAGCACTACTTTTCAAAAATGGCAAGTTTGCTTTTTCTACTTAAGGAATAATTCTATGTGTAATGACCAAATGCACAAAACAATGCTTGAACACAATGGTTAGGCATTTAATTATTGAGTGTGAAGAGGTTTAGAGGCCTGCAAACTATCACAAACCCTGCTGACTTGAAAATGCAAATGTTATGAACAAGCTTTGGCCATGAACAAAAGTGAGTTTTGGCCAACTTTGCAAATTCGATTCTGTCTAACCACAAGGGTGTTTGATGAGTTCTTGGACAATTTGGAAAGCTTGGAATGTGTACTACAATCCATCTTTGTAATGCAAATTGAAACTCCAAGTGGAACCATGTGAAAAATGGCCAAGAAGTTGGACAAAAATCCTGCCTAGAATAGGTCAAAATTTCTCTAAGTTAAAAATGTTTTGCACCCTTGTTCCAAAAATCATAACTTGAGATACAAGCTTCCTTTGAGAAAACTTTGTGAATCAAAGTTGTAGACTTTGCAATGGACTACAACTTTCATGTTTCAAGTTTTGTTTGAATCCATTTGCATCTTGATGAAAAAATGGGACAAAGTTAGGAAAAAATAAGGAAATTTCATAACTTAGAAAATTTCTAAGTTATGAAATTTCTTCATTTTAAACCCTAATTTGCAATTTTGGATTTCTTGATGAACAAGTTTCATAATTTGACATGTCTTGATGAAAAAATGGGATCTTGGCACTTGATTTTGACCAAAAAGTCAAAGTTTGACTTTTCAGTATACAGTCAAATTTTGATCAGTTGACTGGAAAATTCATCTGTCAATCCTGTGCATTTTGAGATCTTTTGAACTTATTGAATGTGTCAAGACAATTCCATTGAGTCCTTGAGTCCATGTGTGAGCTTGGTTTGCCATTGGTTAGGTCAAACAGTCAAAAATTGCCTTTGTGCAGTCAAAACCCTAAAAATGACCATTTTGCCCTTTTGGTGATCTGATCAAATTTTTTGTGGAATTATGATCCAAACTTGATCAAATGGTCCATATGAGTTCATAATGTTGATGTGGGTGAAATTTTATGAGGTTTGACTGTCAATTGGCCACAATTGACTTTTCCCCCAATACAACTGATTTCTAGGTCAACTGTCCAATTGACTGGGCAAAGATTGGAATCAAGGCTTGAAACTTGGTATGGATAAACTTGTGAGTCCAACATGAAGCATGAAAGTCACCTTGGGAATTTTAGGTCAAAATATCCTTGTGCAAACTCAAACCCTAATTTGGGTCAACAATGCAAGGAGGAGTCTTGAGCAGAGCAAACCCTAACTTGATCTTGAATATATGAGTTTTGTAATGAGAAAATGTTGATGAAATGAGAGGGAAAATTTTGGGGTATAACAGATGGACTAGTTGGTAGGAGCTTTTGTGTTTAGTAAGATTGACTTGAGATCTGGTTATCACCAAATTCGTGTGAAAGCTGGTGATATTCAGAAGACGACGTTTAGAACAAGGTATGGACACTATGAGTATTTGTTGATGCCTTTCGGTGTTACGAATGCACCTGGTGTGTTTATGGAGTACATGAATAGAATCCTTCATGAGTTCCTTGATAATTTTGTGGTGGTCTTTATTAATGACATTCTTATCTATTCGAAGAGTGAAGTGGAGCATGCCGAGCACTTGGGAATTGTGTTGTCGATTCTGAAAGAGAATCAGTTGTTTGCTAAGCTTTCTAAGTGTGAATTCTGGTTGGAGCAAGTGAGTTTTCTTGGACATGTGATATCTCGTGTAGGTATTGCCGTGGATCCATCTAAGATTGAAGCTGTGTCAGAATGGGAATCTCCTAAGTCTATTTTTGAGATTCAAAGTTTTCTTGGTTTAGCCAGATACTATCGTAAGTTCGTTGAGGGTTTTTCGAAGTTGGCCTTACCATTGACACAATTGACGAGAAATGGGCAAGCGTTTGTGTGGACTACTCAATGTGAGGATAGCTTTCAAGAGCTTAAGCGAAGGTTGACTACTGCTCCTGTGTTGGTTTTACCTAATCTATCCAAACCGTTTACAGTGTATTATGATGCTTCATTGATGGGGTTAGGTGGTGTGTTAATGCAAAACGGACAAGTGGTGGCTTATGCTTTAAGGCAACTTAAAGTGCATGAGAGGAATTATCCGACTCATGACTCAGAGTTAGCGGCTGTGGTGTTTGTGTTGAAGATTTGGAGACATTACTTGTTTGGATCGAGATTCGATGTTTTCAGTGATCATAAGAGCTTGAAATATTTGTTTGATCAGAAAGAGTTGAATATGAGGCAAAGGAGGTGGTTGGAGTTCCTAAAAGATTATGATTTTATCTTGAATTACCATCCTGGAAAGGAGAACATGGTTGTTGATGCGTTGTGTAGAAAATCATTGCATATGTCTATGCTAATGGTTAAAGAGTGGGAATTACTTGAACAGTTGAGTTTGGTTTGTGAAGAAACTTACTTTGGTGTGAAACTTGGTATGTTGAAGATTATAAGTGGAATCTTGGATGAGATAAGAGAAGGACAAAAAGAGGACTTGGTTTTGGTTGACAAATTGACTTTAGTTAACCAAAGTAAAGGAGGAGAGTTTATAATTGATGAGAACGGTGAGTTAAGATGTCGTGATCGAGTTTGTGTTCCCGATGTGGGAGATGTGAAAAAGAGGATCCTTTAGGAGGGACACCGAAGTGGGTTAAGCATTCATCCCGATGCCACAAAGATGTATCAAGATTTGAGAAAGTTGTTTTGGTGGCCGAGTATGAAAAAGGAAATTGCGGAATTTGTGTATTCATGTTTGGTTTGTCAAAAGTCCAAGATAGAGCATCAAAAGCCTTCCAGTTTGTTACAACCTTTGTCTATACTGGAATGGAAGTGGGATAGTATCTCTATGGATTTTGTTTCAGGTTTGCCGAGGACTCCAAGTAACTATGAGGCTATTTGGGTTATCGTGGATAGATTGACGAAATCTGCTCACTTTATCCAAATTAGAATGGATTATCCTATGGAGAGACTTGCGAAGTTGTTTGTTGAGAGGATTGTATGTTTGCATGGTATTCCGACGTCATTGTTTGGGATAGAGACCCGCGGTTCACATCTAGATTTTGGGAAGGTTTGCAAAGAGCTTTGGGTACTAAGCTATGTCTGAGTTCTGTTTATCATCCACAGACGGATGGTCAAACAGAGAGAACTATTTAATCACTCGAAGATCTTTTGCGTGCTTGTGTGTTTGAACAAGGGGGTTCTTAGGAGAGTTACTTGCCTTTTATTGAGTTTACCTATAATAACAATTTTCATTCTAGCATAGGTATGGCTCCTTTTGAAGCATTGTATGGAATGCGTTGTCGAACACCTTTATGTTGGTATGAATCGGGAGAAAGTGCGGTGGTTGGGCCGGAAATTATGCAACAAACTACGGATAAGATTAAGTTGATTAGAGAGAAGATGCAAATTTCACAAAGTCGTCAAAAGAGTTACCATGACAAGAGGAGGAAGCCTCTTGAGTTCAAGAAGGATGACCATGTGTTTTTGAGAGTGAATCCTACGACAGGTGTTGGTCGGGCTCTTAAATCGCAGAAGTTGACACCTCGGTTTATAGGTCCGTATCAAATTTCGGAGAGGATTGGTAATGTGGCTTATAGAATTTCATTACCACCATCACTTTCAAAATTTCACGATGTGTTTCATGTGTCGCAATTGCGAAAGTATATTGCGGATCCGTCTCATGTAGTGCAAGCGGACGATGTGGAAGTTAGAGAAGACTTAACCGTTGAGACTTTGCCGACAAGAATCAAAGATCGAAAAGTGAAACAACTTAGAGGAAAAATGATTTATTTGGTTAAGGTGGTGTGGGGTGGTGCGGCTAATGGAAACATCACTTGGGAGCTTGAAAGCTGGATGCGGGATTCGTATCCCGAGTTGTTCGTTTAGAGGTAATTTTCGAGGTCGAAAATCTTTTAAGTGGTGGAGAGTTGTAACACCCCATTTTAATTAATATTATTTATATTATTATTTTCTAAAAATTACCGGTTGATATTTATTTTGGTAAATTGATAATTATTTAGTCGGTTATTCGGTCCGGTAGTTGATTAATTTGGTTTATTCGGTTTACCAGAAAATAATTATTTTTATATGATAATATTGTATTTTGGTATATATATATATATATATATATATATATATATATATATATATATATATATATATATA